ACACACACACACACACACACACACACACACACACACACACACACACACACACACACACACACACACACACACACACACACGTACGTTTTACTTTAAAACAAATTATCTACTAAGATATCTTTAAAATGGAGAAAAGGGAGCCAAACTATGTCTTTACTAAATAACTTCACTGAAACAACAACCAACCACCCTAAATCCCATTACCTTTTCTCCAGATCGTCCATGCTTTTCTTATCGGCATAGATCTCTGCATAGAGCAATGCTGTAAAGTGAGCAGCACAAGACTGGGCCACCTTGGCAACTTCTAGATAATTCAAGTCCAGCCAGAAAGCATCATCGAAAACTGTTCCTGAAGAAGGTCTAAAGAAAAGCTCAATAGGATGACATTGCATTTTTTTTATATCAATGTCAGTAGAAAAGCACATAATTTTAAACATCTAGTTTCTCATTCTTTTTGGATTACACCCCCCTCTCCCCCAAGAATCTGATGAAAGCTATAGACTGATACCCTCCCTCTCTTACCCCTCCCTCCTTCTAAGACACACATACTTTAAAGACAATTCATTCAAAATGGTTTCTTTTAAGACAAGTTACATATCTTTCTTGTTGAAGTCATTTTCTCTTTAGTTCGTTACCTAGGTTGAGTTATTTAATAAAACTTTTTCAGTGTGGTGATAACAGATCAGAAGATCAGAACTGGAAGAAACTACAGTTATTGTTTTTTCAAAACATTGTAGTGATGTGACAAAGCAGGGATACAAACACTAGCTTTGCACACAGTACAGCTAGGTACAAAGCTAGCTATAGCATCTATTACTGACTGTATGACTTTTAGTGCCTGAACTCCTTCAGTTGCGCAGTTGCCTATTTTTTCTTATTAAAAGGGTACAACAATACCTTTCAGAGTGGTTGATGAATAATGTACCTCTGCATAGTAACCTCTTAATTATACTGTTGTTTGAGAAACTTCAAATTTAGAAAACTGAAACAAGTTGCCCATAGAAAGGAAGCTTATATTTATTGAATGTCACATGTATTGAAGACTTACCTATTTTACTTACCATAAGCCACCCCTGCCTATTTAAATATTTATATATACATGATAGATTCATGATTTATATAATTTTTATGCAGTACTTGGGTTTGAATTCAGGGCTTTGTGTTGGCTAAGAAGATTCCCTACCACTTGAGCCACAAACTCAGCCCAATTTGCTTTCATAATTTTTTGTAAAGGTTCTTGCTTTTTGCCCAGGTCTACCCTCCTATTTATGCTTTCCACAGAGCTGGGAGAATAAGCATGCTAACATGCATATGTTTAAAATGGGGTCTTGAAAACTTTATGCACAGGCTGGTCTCAAGTCATGATCCTCCTTATCTCAACTTCTGGTGTTGACATGGTTATAGGTGGAAGTCTGACTGTTAAGAATCTTTTTTAAGATTCAGAATCCTAACATTCAGAAATAATACTAAATGATGGTACTTATGCCATTTATTCAGGTGCTTTCAAATTATGGATACTTCAGGACTTAGGATAGGATTATATACCAATAAATCAAGAAGATTCTAATAAAATTATTATTTAACACATATAACCTACTACAAACCAAAGCTTAGCAACACACACTATGGAGTATTAGTCTGTCTTCTTGATCATATTGCTGACCAGAAGTACAGCCTGCTGAAGCTATCCAGTATTACAAGAGGGGTTCAACATTATCACTGGCCTCGAAGAGTATCAAAATTGAAAGAATGAACCGAGTGCTAGTGGCTCATAACTGTAATTCTAGCTACTTAGAGGAGGCTGAGACCTGAGGATCATGGTTTGAAGATAGCTCAGGCAATAAAGTCCATTATATTCTAATCACTAGGGCTGGAAATGTGGCTGAGTGGTAGAGTGCTTGTCTAGTATGCAGGAAGCCTTGGGTTCAACTCCTCAGTACCACACAAACAGAAAAAGCTGAAAGTGGCACTGTGGCTCAAGTAGTATAGTGCTAGACTTGAGCACAGAGAGGCTCAGAGATAGAGCCCAGGCCCAGCAAGACCAGCAAAAAAAGAAAAAAAAAATCCAGAACTCCAGTTTAATCTCTAATTAACTACCAAAATTGGAGCTGTGGCTCAAGTGTCATTGAACTCAAAAGCTCAGGAGCAGTGTTAGGCCCTGAGTTTAAGTCCCAAGAGCAGCACAACAAACAAACAAACAAACAAACAAACTGAATCTATTAGTTTCATAAAGCTAAAAAATCATAAGGTGAACCCTTGTAAATCAGGACCACCTATACTATTTCTTTAGATTCTGGTCAACAGTCTGGAAGTACAGATGTTAGACCCCTGAGTAACAACTCTTACATTATTAAAAATCTCGTGAAAATAGGAACAAAAACACTACACTATAAAGTAACTTACCTAAATTAAGAAAATAAACTTTACCATGCCAACATTACTACCAATTTTGATGACTATGGCACACAGCTAAAAAATATTTTTCTTATAAATACACATTCAAAGAGAGGCAATATTATTAAAAATAACTTGGGAAAATCACTTGCTCCTTTTCCACAGCTTTGTTGATGAAATAAAGTCCCTAAAGCCCTTATGACTTAGCTAGGTAAACACTATTACCGGTAAACCTGGGACTAGAATTTCCAAAACTGGTCAACCAAAGTGCCATCCTAAATATTATAAGGAAATAGAAGAACATACCAATTAAATATTGTCTTCTGTAGCTGCTTTCCATAAAATAAGCAGGTTAAAATTCAGCCAGCAGTAACAAGTTATACTTCTAAATCCCTAAGCCCAAGAAGCAACATTATTTCATTACTATCATTACCTCTTTTGTCTTCTCATGTAGTCTATAACAGCAAGCATTGTTCTTTGTGATTTTTTATCCAAACAGCATCGGAAAATATTCTCTGACTCTGACAAACAAAGATATCTCTTCTCAGTCCCTGACAGACTTTCCGAGGCACTGTCTCCCTTCCTGTCTATGCAACTGCCTTTCTCTCCACAATTACAAGATGATGGTAGCAGTACCCAACACAAAACTGGATCTTAATAAATACAAGTAAATGCAACTTAATGGTATTTATTTCTTTTAAAAGAAACAATATGTTTAATATAACTGAGAAGCAGGATGAGTAATTTAAGTACAATTCAATTTTTCCCTAAAAAAACAAGTAGGAAATATTTCAAATGCTGAGTTATCTTAGATTACAGGATTATGAATAACTTCAATTTTTAGAATTTATACAACTTTTAATAGGCATGCTTTTGTAATATGAAGGATGCTTTTAAAAATTAGTTGTCCAGTGATTTAAAACTATGACAATTCCATCTTAGTAGCCAAATATTTCATTGAGCTTACTTATTTATTTATGTGGGGTTTTTTTTCCATTGCTAGAAAGAGAGGAACGTATGTTTCTCATCTGTATTGTCAGTGCCAAAAAGTGTGTTAGATACTGAATGTTAAACTGTCACCCATTATGAATATCCAAATTGACTGTAGGATACATTAAGATTTTATCCTAGATGCTTTACAAATGTTATGTCATTGAAAACTTAGTAAAATCTTTATTTCCACTAACTAGTTGAAGAAACAGAAATTGAGAATTACTGAAGTACAAGTGTTTTTGATGATACTCAAACCCATCTGAAAGTAGTATAAACATTAGCAATTTAACAGAATACCTGAATCAAAATTGGCTGGGGTTGCAGATCGACTTGTTTGTGAGGAGTGTTTGAAAGAGCTCGTGAAAAATCCCTGAATGTGTATAGAAAGAAGATTTCTCCATGATTGATTTGTATCTTGGAGTAAGATATCATGAATCAAGTATGGAAGCACAGTCTGACAAAAGTCAGTCTTCACCTAAAACATACAAACATAGCCCCCAAGCATGTGAGTAAAAGTAACACATTTTACTTAAAATTTTCATGTGTATTATTGACATATTAAACTTAAAAAAAAAAAAAGAAAGTTTTTCAAGTACTGGTGGCTCATGCCTATTATTCTAGCTACTTTGGAGGCTGAGATTGGGAGGATAGTGGTTCCAGGCCAGCCCAGACAGAAAATTTTCCAAGACAACATCTCAATCCATAGCTGGAGATAGTGGCACATGCCTCTCATCCTAAACTACATGGGAGGCTGAGATTGGGAGGAACACAGTTCCAGGCCAGTCCTAGCAGAAAAGCCCATGAGATTCAATCTTAATGGTAAAAGTTGGATGAGGTGATGTACATCTGTCATCCCAACAACTATGGGAAATCAGTGATCACAAGCCAGGCATATAAGAGACTCTATCTCAAAGCATGGCTCAGCAGTAGAGAACCTGTCTAACAAACATGATGTCCTGAGTTCAAGCTCAAGTAATATCCAAAAAAAGTGATAGACTCATGTGCTTAAATTGTAAACAAAAAAGTGTTTTTATAGAACATTCTAAGCTAATGTATTTGCATTAAGTGTCTGTTAATTACACCATAGTTGATCATTTCCAGTGTAAGCCACTAGCATATTGAAATAAGATACTGCTTACAAATGAAATTGTCACTACTATGAATACCATTTCAGAGCTTAAGAGTGTAGTAATAACAGAAGCAGTTTCTTGTTTTAGTGTAGAGGAAAAAGGTACCAAAGTTTAAGAGAAAAATTGAAAATTGTTTATTTTCTATACTCAGAAAAAGAGTTACAACAGTCAAGTTAAATATGTTAAGATTTTTTGTTTGTTTTTTACTTACTGAAATTTGAACTCAGGATTTCATGATTCTAGGCAGGTGTTTTACTGCTTGGGCCAACCTCCACCCCTTTTGCTCTGATTGCTTTTGAGATAACATCTCATTTTTTAGCAATGTCTACTGGATCTCTACTGGTCTCTTATTTATGCTTCTTGAATAGCTAGGATGAATGATGTACCACTGTACAGAGATTTTTCTGTTAAGATGGGAGGAGGGCAGTCTTACAAATTTTTATGCCAAGGCCAACCTTGAAAACTTTTTTGTCTAACTGGCTTCAAACTATAGCATTTTTGATTTCTGCTTCCTGAGCAGCTAGGTTTACAGGCATGAGCCATCTGTACCAAGCAGATAGCTTTTAAAAATCCTGATTTCTAGGTATAAAATCTGAGTAATTGTACTCTCAAGTTTTTAATGGGTATGGCACATTAAAAGGGCACTCAACCACATTTTTACCATTCATCACACTCAACACTTGTGCATTCTCTCCCTCAATCCAAAAGCATATCAGAGAAAGTAAATGGCAATGCTCTTATCAGACTTAAAGAGCTACTTTTAATAAGCACAAATAATTCACCATCATCAATACTTTGTACTTCGTTCTTCCTAACAAATTACTCAAAGTACCTGTTAGAATACATCTGCCATTCCAACCTGAAACCTACTGTGTAAACTATGACTAAAAAAAGATATCACTCTAGCGAACTCCAGCAACAAAGCACAGGCAACACTGTACAAAGATGTATATCATTTAGCATTCCTCTTAGATATGAAGGTCATCATAGTCAGATACACAGAAGCCAAAGGAGAATGGGAAGGGAAAGTAAAAAGAGAAATTAAGTTGGACTGTATCAGTCTTCTTACCTCACACATTGGCTTCAGTAACTGAAGAATTTCGCTTTTTATGCTTCCGCTGTCCAAAAAAGCACATGTTAGGTTCTTTATCCAAATGTCATGATTTTCACTTTGAGGAATCCACAGATTTGTATCATCCAGGTATTCTAATGGGCATTCTTTGTCAAGCCTGGGTACTTCTAAAAACTATAATCAGAAAATGTAAATAGGAGAATCAGAAAACTATTTACCTTTTCTGTTTAACAGAACTATCCAGGCACAAATTTGCTTCTAAATAACATTAAATATATTTAAAGCTAGAGTTAGACATAACAGTTAATTTAAAAATTAAAACAATTTTGGATCAGGGTTTGTAATTCAACTGGTAGAACACACGCCTAGAAAAGTAAGGCTCTAAATTCAATCCTTAGTACTGCAAAAATAAAACAAACAACAGGCATACTTATCTCTGGTTTCTGGGGAGTTGTTTTTGGCTGTGGGGCAGTTTATTTTCACATGCTAGAGCTATTTCCTGACAAAACATATTTATCTGATAGGCAGAGCAGGATGTCAAAAAGCTTTACTGGTCCAAGTAACAGAAAACTTCAGTTCTGTCACTCTCTGGATGTGTTAATGTGTCTGTTACATTTCACAAACTTCGACTCATGTGAAAAACAAAATGAAACAATTCTAGTCTACCAAAGGGCATTAATTTAAAAATAAAATGTAATCCTTTTAAATGTTAAAAATATTGTACTTAATAAGTTGCATTAAGTTTATATTACTATTAACTTTAGTAAGATCAGAATTGATCTTAAATGAACAAAAATGATACAGTAAAATACTTCAATGATGAAGTAGCATTTATTGAAATTAAACTGGTAGGAATTCATCTATGCATTTTTCAGTCGTTTTATAAAAAGAAAGAATGCTTAGACAAAAAAAGAGAATGATTAGATGCAGGAGTTCCTTAACATCTTGCACAGGAGTACATTCAATAGAACTTTGTAAAAATCCATGTGGGAAAGAAGCAATCTACAGCCCAGCTTATGTCCCACTAGGGAGCTATGATATAGAGCAGGGTGCATGGCTCAAGTGGAGACTGATATATTAGCTTCCTAAAGAAATAATGGCTTGATTGCAAGTCATAATATCTTTAAGTCATATCTAGAATCAAGGAAATCAAAAGATTAGAAGGTTTTTTTTCCCTAAAACAAAAAGGGTTTCTTTTCTTAAGCCAGATGGGCTGGATCAAGACTGTAATGCTAACTACTTGAGAGATTAAAATCAGGAGAATCAAAGTTCAAGGCCATCCCAGTTCTAAATCAATGGTTGGGCACAGTAGTATGTGTTATACTGGCGACTAGGGAAGCAAAATGGTTGGGCGCAGTGGCACTTGTCTGTTATCCCTAATGACATGGGAAAGCATAAGGAGGATCGTAGCCCAAGGTGGCCTGAGAGTAAAACAAAGATCCTACCTTAAACTAGTCAAGGCAAAAAGGGGCAGAGGTGTGGCTCAAGTGAATTTCCAAGTTATCCCCACTCCCCTAAAAAATTTTCCCTAACCCCAAATCAACCATCACTTCTGTAGATTTTATCAATCTGTTTTTCTTAACCTGTCATAACAACAAATCCTTGGGATTCAAGAAATAGTTTAAATCATTTCTAGGAAAGGTGAAATATTATTGTATTATTATTTTAAGCAATTTGGTAATCAAAACACAAAGCAAATAGAACTATTCCAGGTATGGTAGGAATTTAACAAACATATACATGGGCCAACCTTTTTCCTTGATGTTCTAAATGGCTGCAGATAGGCCAGCATAGGATCAGCTGTCTTCTTATAAATGTCCCAGAATCTATGTCCAGTCTCTGTGGCTAAAATGTTTTTCAAACAGGTAACAGCAGCTGATCGTACTTTGACACTGAAAAACACATAGTTCATTTAATCTTGAATGTTTAGCAAACTTCCACAGGTACTTAAAAATGAAATTCTATAACATAGTAAGTTTTACATCTATAAAATTCAACATTAAAGTAAAAAATATCACTGCAATGACAATACTGTCCATTCTACACAATGATGTTTATACAATGATGCCATAAATTGATTCATTAAAAAAGTAAGAAATAACACAGCCTAATAATAATAAGTATGAGGAATAAGACTAAAATACTGATGCACATGAGCAAAATCATATTTGGTATTTTTTCTGGGGACACAAATAGTTTGAGGTGAGACAGAAAGGCATTTTATCGCCAATGATAAGATTATTTTAAAATTTTATATTTGGGCTGGGAAGGTGGCTCAGTGGTAGAGCGCTTGCCTTGTATGCCTGAGCCCTGGGTTCAATTCCTCAGCACCACATAAGCAAAAAGAAAAAAAAGCCGAAAGTGGCGCTGTGGCTCAAGTGGTAGAGCACTAGCCTTGAGCTGAAGAGCTGAGGGACAGCGCCCAGGCCCAGACTTCAGGCCCTATGACCAGATCCCCCCCAAAATTTTTTATACTTATTTTGATTTAAATCTTAGTTGAGACTCATTAATTATGGCATCCAATATCTCTAGTAAAAAAGTCCAATAGCCAAGCGCCAGTGGCTCACATCTGTAATCCTACCTACTCAGGAGACTGACATCTAAGGATTGCGGTTTCAAAGCCAGCCCAGGCAGGAATGTCCATGAGACTCTTATCTCCAATTAACCACCAGAAAACCAGAAGTGGCACTGTGGCTTACGTGGTAGAGTGCTAGCCTTGAGCTGAAGAGATCAGGAACAGTGTCCGAGCTGGGTTCAAGCCCCACAACCGACCCCAAAACACCTCCCAGATCCCTCCTGGTTCTACCCATGTCTCTCACCTCCATTACTAAATACCCTAAAATCTAAGTCACCCCTTTTCTCTTCTGCAATGATTTCCTATCTGATCTTTCTTTTTTTTTTCAATTGGTCGTGGGGCCTGAACTCTGGGCCTGGGCACTATCCCTCAGCTCTTAAGCCATAGGCACTACTTGTGCCTTTTTCTGCTTATTGTGGTGCTGAGGAATTTGAATCCAGGGCCTCATGAATGCAAGGCAAGCAATCTATCACTGAGCCACCTTCCCAGCCCCCCCCCCCCATCTAATCTTTCTGTTTTCACTTTTACCTCTTTGGAATCCATTTACCATACAAAAGTCAGACCAAAAGGTAGGCTACCCAAACTTCATGGCTTCCTTATATACTTTAAATAAAACGCAATTTCTTAATCATAATTAGTCCCACTTTTCTGATTTATTGACTGTCACCTTCCTCAAAGATGGCTGACTTCTTTGAGGAAGTACCATTTGATATGATCTCTGAGTGATCCCCAAAGAGCCGTGAGACAATAAGAGCAAGGCATTCGAACAGGGAAGCTAGAGTGAGATAGGCTAATTTATCTGAAAAATCTGGAAGAAGCCAGGTAGTGAGGAAGATGGTAGATGAGGTATTTCAGATAGTTTCTCAGTGCCCAATCTGGTCTAAGACCTTGATCCTCCTATCCCTGCCTTCAAGTAGCTACGATTACAGGTATATGCCATTATGTCAGTGTGGAACAGTTTTTGAAGAAAGATTTTTCACTGAAAACTTGCAATTATTAAATGATCCAAGTTGGTTTTCAGCAAAAGATATAGAGATACTAGTGTGATTTCAGCATGAAAATAATAAAGAATAGGTACAAATTTTTTCTACCTTTATTCAGGAAGAAAAAAAATCAGTAGAAAGTTTAGGGGCTTTAGCATACAAAGGAGGTGTTACTCAAAAGGAATCTCACAAACTGAAGGCTGAAATGCTAATAATATCTTGCAAATTTGTTTTTGTCAAGAAATAAATGAGTAATAGAAATTCTGTCTGATTAGCTTAAGATTTCTGGGGCTAGAAAATTTTTGCTGGGGAGCTAGTGTGTGGTATAAATGGTAGAGTATTTTGCCTAGCAAGTTTAAGGTCCTGAGTATAAACTCCAATACCACTATGAAAAAAGAAGTAAAAAAAATTAAAGCAAATTTATCTTTCAAAAAATAATTAAAAGAAACCTTTTTCTCAAGTCAGAGGCTGGTGGCTCATGCCTGTAATCCTAGCTACATAGGAGGCCAAAAACTGAGGCTTAGTCAGCCCAGGCAGGAAAGTCTGTGAGACTCTTAAGTCTAATTAATCCCCAAAAGCCAGAAGTGAAGCTATGTCTCAAGTGTAGAGAGCTAGCATTGTGCAAAAAAGCTTAGAGATAATGAAAGGCTCTGACTATGAGCCTCAGGATTGGCACAAAAACAAACAAAAGACAAAAAAAAAAACCCATAACAAAACCACTTTTTTCTTCGTGATGTATTTAAAAGGATCAAACCTCTAATGTTGACAAGTGTTAAAAGTAGTACTCTACATTTCTCTAACTGAATGTGGAACTACCTAGTAGTTTTCTTATTTGTTGACTGTCTATTCTTACTGGAATTTAATATAGACCTTATTTGGAATCCTCGTTACTATGGCAACTCTTGCAACACAGTAAAGTCAATAATTATGTGAATTAAGAAAATGAAAAAAAGTATACATGACTTTAAAAAAGTATGAGAACTTGCCAGGTACTAGTGATTCATGTCTATACCTAGCTACTTAGGAGGCTGAGATCTGAAGACAGTGGTTTAAAGGAACACTGGACAGAAAGGTCCATGCGACTTTTTTTTTTTTTTTTTTTTTTTTGGTCCAGTCGTGGGGCCTGAACTCTGGGCCTTGGCACTATCCCTCAGCTCTTCAGCTCAAGGCTAGCACTCTACCACCTGAGCCACAGCGCCACTTCTGGCTTTTTTTTTTTCTTTTTGCTTATGTGGTGCTGAGGAATCGAACCCAGGGCCTCAGGCATGCAGGCAAGCGCTCTACCACTGAGCCACCTTCCCAGCGGTCCATGCGACTTTTTTTTTTTTTTTTTTCGGCCGTGGGGTTTGAACTCTGGGCCTTGGCACTATCCCTCAGCTCTTCAGCTCAAGGCTAGCACTCTACCACCTGAGCCACAGCGCCACTTCTGGCTTTTTTTTTTTCTTTTTGCTTATGTGGTGCTGAGGAATCGAACCCAGGGCCTCAGGCATGCAAGGCAAGCGCTCTACCACTGAGCCACCTTCCCAGCGGTCCATGCGACTTTTACCTCAAATTAAATACCAAAAGCCAGAAATGGAGCTGTGGCTGAAGTGGTAGAGCGCTAGCTTTAAGCAAAAAAGCTGAAGGACAGTGCCCTGGCCCTGAGTTCAAGCCCTATTACTGGCACCAAAAAAAAAAAAAAAAAAAGTAAAAGAACTTAAAAGACAAAACTTAGTTTTGGAGATGCTAATTGACATTAAGTACCATTCTTCTTGAATGTCAGATTAAATAAGTGTGATCAAATATATGTTAACCATAAATACTCACCAATCTTCTACTAGTGTATTATTCAGGTAGGTCAGCATCAGTAAGGTCCATTCAAGCTCTTTGTCTTCAAGAGTCTTGGCATAAGATATATCTTTACTATGTTGTATAGCTATTGTAGAAAAATCTATAGGACCTACTTCTCCTAGACAGCTTCCAACAGCCTCTACATAACAGAAATTCTATTTTACTAGAGTCATAAACATAACATACAAGCATAATATGCAATAAATTTGCTAATTAAAAAATATAATACTGTTTTGTCATGCTTCAAGATTTCAGTATATTATGAATAGATTCAAGAAGCCACAAAACACTGCATAATTTCCTTTTACATTTATCATGTGGGAACAGATTCTTTACCCCACAGATGATAGGAGATAACAAAATATGAATAACTAAGAATCTAAGTCCAACATGGCTGAGAGTATTTACTCAACCTTAAAACTGTTAACATTTTGGGGAGTTTTTCCATACGTCTTAAACACAATTTAGTAAAAGTTTTATAATGTTTTCCCTCTGTTATCACTGCCAAATGAAGATAGAGCATTTTTTTTTTTGGGTGGGGGGGTCCGGTTGTGGGGCCTGAACTCTGGGCCTGGGCGCTGTCCCTCAGCTCTTCAGCTCAAGGCTAGCACTCTATCACTTGAGCCACAGCGCCACTTCGGCTTTTTCTTTCAAAAGATGAAGCCTAATTTCCATACCTGTGAGCGACTCACTTCTAACAAATACAAAGTGTATATAAGACCTTCAACTCTTTTTTTTGTTGTTGTTGGTTATAGGCCTTGTACTCAGGGCCTGAGTGCTGTCCTTGAATTCTTGCTCAAGGCTGGTGCTCTACCACTTTTAGCCACAGTACCACTTTCAGTTTTCTGGTGGTTAAATGGAAGTAAGAGTTTGATGGACTTCCTGCTCAGACTGGCTTTGAACTGCCTTCCTCAGACCTCAGCCTCAGTAGCTAGGATTATAGGCATGAGCCACCAGTACCCAGGCCTTCGACTCTTTTATTAACTTCATGTTGGACATTGCTTTTAAGTACTATTCTAACTGGAATTGCCTATTTCCTTTTTTTTGTGCCAGTCCTGGGGCTTTAATTCAGGGCCTGGGCTCTATCCCTGAGATTCTTTTGTTCAAAGTTATACATACCACTTATCCTTCCTATTTTCTTTCAGAAACAACAACCATGACAGCTACAAGTTAACTTCAACTGTATGAATATTTTTCCCAATCATGTGATCATTAAATCTAAAAACCCATAGTAGATATGATATTGTCTGTTTATTATTATTATTTATTTTTATTTTTTGTGGTACCAATGTGAATTCAGGGCTTTCTGTTTGTTTGGCTAAGCTTGCTTGTTTAGTTGGTTTTTGATCACTTAAGCATATCCCCATCCCAGCTTTTCTTTTCCTTTTTTGGTGAGTTGTGGGGCTTGAGCTCAGCTCTTCAGCTCAAGGCTAGCACTCTACCACTTGAGCCACATTGCCACTTCAGGTTTTCTGGTGGTTTATTGTAGATAAGAGTCTCTCGGATTTTCCTGTTCAGGCTGGCTTTGAATCACGATCCTCAGATCTCAGCCTCCTGAGAAGCTAGGATTATAGGCATGTGCCACCGGCGCCGGGCTCCATCCCAGCTTTTACTGTCTATTCTGGAGATAGAGACTCATGGACTTTTCTGCCCAGGCTGGCTTTGAGTCACTTTCCTCTAGATCTCAGTCTTTTTAGTGACTAGGATGATAGGATTACACCACCAGCACCTTATGTTGCCTATTTATCTTATATAAGATTTTATGCCAAAGGGCAGTAGGAAATGTTTTTGTTTTCAATGTTTTCTTATAACCCATCCTTCAAAGTCTATTGTTCTTATTACATATAAAAAAGCCATTGAGGGCTGGGAAGGTGGCTCAGTGGTAGAGTGCTTGCATGCATGAGGCCCTGGATTTGATTCCTTAGCACCAGATAAGCAGAAAAAGCCAGAAGTGGTGCTGTGGCTCCAGTGATAGAGCCTTGAGCTGAAGAGCTGAGTTCAGGCCTCGCAACCAACCCCACCCCCCGCCCAAAAAAAGAAAGACATTGAATATCAGTTCGTTAAAATAATATTAGAGAAGTCAGTTAATTTACAACATCATTCCACAAGTGGATGTTCCTGAATTTCCCAAAATCTGTTAAGGGTTTTTGCAAATTAATAGTTACCTACAAATGTAAATTGCTAATTTCTAATTTTATGTGAATATTTAAGGAAGAAGGAAGGGAGGCTTCTTGGGGATACTTGAATGAAACAGAAATATTCCCCATACTTCTCATGACAACCTTTTACATTTTTTGAGAACATTTTAAAGATTACACTTCAACTGGGCATAATGGGGCACACCTAGAATCTCAGCACTTGGGAGGCTGAGGCAGAATGATCATGAGTTTTATGCCAGTTTAGCTCAAAAAAAAGGAAAAAAAAAAAAAAGATGACCACTTCAACACAAAAGGTCTACATTCCTTTAACTACAATTTACCTAGAACTTCTCTTTCTCCAGTCTGGTTAACCGCCATCTTGGATAACTGCAACAAACTGACAACTAGCTTCACCACAATGCCATCATGTGGGTTATCTAGGAGTAATTTAGAAAAGTTAGTTCAAATTATCACGAGCACAACACTCACTTTTATAATCTGCACATAAACTGTTACCTGACTAGAAAATTTTTGCAAAGTTTTAAAAAAGGTTTTAAGGTATTAGCAGCTAAAAAAGTACAGTATGTTAATTTGAACATTCTCATGAAACAGAATCCTACAGAAGTGATCATACCACCTAGCAGAAAGAAAATTATCTTGAACAAATTGTGTATAGAATTAAAACTTTAGTGAAAATCATAAACAACCAGAAATACAAGAAGCACTGTACTTTAAAGCAAGAAGGGATTTTATAATCTGCTTCATTTAACATCTTGCATTCAGAATCTAGACCAACACTGTCCAACAGACAGAAATACCTACAAGCCAGTGTCCAAAGACAGCCACTATCCACACATGCTAGCAAGAATTTGCCAAGTGCTAGTACAATCAAATATTAGAATTTTAAATGAGCCTTAATTTTAGTCCATTAGAATTTAACTAATGGTGTTATTATATAGGGCAGAGCACACAACATAAAACACATAGGAAGAGATACTAATCACATCAATATAAGTGTACATGTTTTGCCAGGCACCGGTGGCTCACACCCGTAATCTAACTACTCGGGAGGCTGAGATCTGAGGATCGCAGTTCAAAGCCAGCCCAGGCAGGAAAGTCCATGAGACTCTTATCTCCGATTAACCACCAGAAAACTGGAAGTAGTGCTGTGGCTTAAGTGGTAGAGAGCTTGCCTTGAGCTGAAAAGATCCGGGACAGTCCCCAGGCCCAGAGTTCAAGCCCCATGACGGATCAAAAAAAAAAAAAAAGTATACATACACATATACATAGCACAATGCATACCTATAACTAAAACAAGATGAAAATACATTTCTTTTTTTCAAGTAGATTGATGTACAAGTCAAAAATACATTATCTTGTATAGTTTATACTGAAGAATTTTGTTTTAGACAACAAAAAGCTGATAAAATTGAAGAATAACATGGTCATATTTGAATTTAGAAAATTAATTCTGATAGAATATTGGAAAAAAAATGGGAATAAGAGAAGACTAGTTATAGCCACCTTTTTTTTTGGGGGGGAGGGGGGGTCCGGTCGTGGGAACTCTGGGCCTGGGCACTGTCCCTCAGCTCTTCAGCTCAAGGCTAGCATTCTACCACTTGAGCCACAACGCCACTTCCAGCTTTTTTTTCTTCTGCTTATGTGGTGCTGAGGAATCGAGCCTAGGGCCTCATGCATGCAAGGCAAGCGCTCTACCACTGAGCCACCTTCCCAGCCCTGCCATTTTGTTTAGATGAGAAATTATGAGGTTCAACCCTAGGTCTGTGGCAATTAAATAAATGAAAAATGTAAGAAAAGGCCCTTTGATATGGCTCAGTAGTACAATGCATTTCTAGCATTTATGAGGACCTAGGTTTAATCCCCAGCCAATAAATAAAATAAGATTAAAAAGAAAGTTAAATGTAAATGATAGATTTTTTTACCCTGAGATGCTTTCATAAGATCCATCATCTGATCTTTATGCTGTTCCAACTGTCTCCGAAGCTCTTTTAATCCTTCAAGCCTTGTCAATGGAAGTGCATCATAAACACTTACTGAGAGAAAATGGTTAATTTCCTAGAAGAAAGTATTAGTTTATAATGTAACTTGCTTTTAATATGTATTGCATGGTGTAAATAATACATACACATACACACACATTTGTGCAAGTCCTGGGGCTTGAATTCAGGGCCTGGGCACTGGCCTTGAGATTTCTTTTGCTCAAGGCCAGCACTCTACCACTTGAGCCACAGCGCCACTTCTGGCTTTTCTGCTTATGTGGTACTGAGGAATTGAACCCAGGGCTTCATCCACGCTAGGCAAGCACTCCATTACTAAGCCACATTCCCAGCTCTAAATAATACATTTAAAAAAATTTGTAAGTGCCTTTCACTAATACTGACTCATCAATCTGAGGAAAAATAAATTCCTGCTTCTACTTCGAGCTCTACAATTCTAAAATTCCTTTCTTGATAATCCAGTTAGATTTCAAAATTGTTAATGGTTTTATTTTTGTTTTAACTGTAATTTTATACTTCAATGTATATTAAGTACATTTTCATGTCAAGAGACAAATAGACTGATTTTAAAAATATGATCAGATTTATGAATACATGCAAACATAATTTTGAAGTTGATAAAGCTTAAAGAATTAAAACTTGAAATATTCTTTCAAGTGTTAAATATTATCTCTAACACAAAGGACCTGATGGTAATTACGAAATATCGGTAGGCCATAAGTTCTTATGTGTGTTAAGAATATTTTATAGCACATTCCTTGGCTATTAAAATTCATAGCCAGGCGCTGGTAGCTCATGCCTATAATCCTAGCTACTCAGGAGTCTGAAATCTGAGGATTGTATTTTGAACCCAGCCAGGGTAAGTCAGTGCATAAGACTCTTATCTCTAATTAAACACTAAAAGAAGTCAGAAATGGAACTGTAGCTCAATTGGTAGAGTACTAGCCTTGAGGAAAAGAGCATAGGGACAGTGCCCAGGTCCTGAGTTCAAGCTGCAAGACCAGAACAAAAATTAAAAAAAAAAAAGCAAATTCATTTATTTACTAGAAAGCCTTGCTATCTATGCTTTAAATGCAGCATCATGTGATAGTAAAAATACATTATTTCACAGAAGGTAGATCTTATATGATACTAGGATTGTTGTTGTTTTTTAATTTTAATTTTTTCGGTTGTGGGGCTTGAACTCTGGGCCTGAGCACTGTCCCTCAGCTCTTCAGCTCAAGGACAGCGCTCTACCACTTGAGCTACAGCACCACTTCTGGCTTTTTCTGCTTATGGTGCTAAGGAATCAAACCCAGGACCTCATGCATGCAAGGCAGGGTTTTTTTTTTTTGCTACAATAAAGTATCAAATTTTTGCCACGATTATTAGAAGCTTTTAAAAAGCATTATTGTCTATGTCCTCTGATATAGAAGAGTAACAAGATAATAATTTTTATTACCTCCAAGAGTGAAAAGGGTCCTCTACTGTATTTGATTTTCTGCTGAATAATACGTAAATCCTTAAAAACAACACGATCAGGAAAAGGATCTAAAAGCTTAATTGTGACATAGAGGTTTTCATTATCCTTGTTATCTATCACTAAGTATTTCAGCAAGTCCAAGACCTAAATAATTAAAAGGAAAATTAAAATAGGAAAAGTCCTTCATATTTCAAAATAAAAAAAACCAAACCTTACTGTAATAAGTGATGAAAACTTTGCCAACCTAGTTCAGACAAAATATTCTAATAACCCCATTTAGTTTCTGTGTTTTCAGAAAACTCAGCAGACATGTAGTATACAAGGCAGGTACTGAAATATAAAAAAATCCAATATTTGTGACACATTTAATATGAGTACTATTTCACACATCATCATAATGATGTGAACCGTCATCCTATTTTGGCTATTATACTAAAGAGTAAGTAATAGGTAAAACTACTGGATTACTTATTAGATTAGAATTATCAAGTGTTCTTTCCTGAATTAATGAAAAAGATTAATTCACTGAAAATATCCTTCCAACAATAATTTTCTCAATAAAATTACTGATCAGATCAAATAAGCAGAAAATATTTAGCTCCTAATAATATTTTTAGTAATATATCACAAATAGCATTTTGAAGACAAATTAGAAAATTACCTGTTCCTGAACTTGCATCTGATCATCCACAAGGGGTATGAGTGTTCCAACAATTAGGTGAAGATGATTTTCCAAAGCATCCTTACAGTGAGTCACTGCAGTCTGGCAAACCCGACTAAGTAAATCACAACAAAGGGAGAAGCTACGTGATGTCACATCTATGAAATGAGAAGGCCTAACAGAAAGAAAAAGAACAGGTTCTAGGAAAACTACTTTGAAATAAAATCATTCAAGTCATTTTTACTTACATGTCTATCCTGAGGCAGCTTGACATAAACTCATTTTCATATCTAATGCCTTCTAGAAACTGAAAGTAGAATAGTGGTCCCAAGAAGGTAGGAGAGGAATGGAGAATGCTTGGTAAACAGTTAATTACTAAATCACTTGTAATCCAAGCCCTTTGAAGGCAGAGGCAGAAGGTTTATATAGGTTTAAGCCTATAATCCTAGCTACTCAGGAGCCAGAGAGCTAATGATTGTGGTTCAAAGCCAACACAGGCTCTAACCAGAAGTGATACTGTGGCTCAAAGTGGCAGAGCACTAGCCTGGAGCAAAAGAGCTCAGGCACATTACCCAGGCCCTGAGTTCAAGCCCTATGAACAAAACAAACAACAAAAAAAGAAAGCTCCAGTCCAGTATGGGCTACCTAGTGAATAAAAGAGAAGTAAAATTGAAGAACTAAGGTCCAGCTGATTAGGAAAAAGGAATTCTGGTGTTTCTACTATGCAGCAGTGAATACAGATAACAATAACATACTGTATATTTCAAATTAAGAATTTTGAATGTTCTGACTGCACAGAAATAATGAGATTAATATGCTGAGCCCAATTTCAATATCATGCAATATATACATGTATGAAAATACCACAAGTGCTAGATGCCAGTGTTTTGTATCTATAATCCCAGACTCAGAAGACTGAGATCTGAGGATCAACAGTTCAAAGCCAGTCTGTGCTATGAGACTCTTATCTCCAATTAACCACAAAAAGCTGGAGGTGGAGCTGAGGCTCAAATGGTAGAGTGCTAGCCTTGAGCAAAAGAGTTCAGGGAACTGTGCCTGCCTAGGACCTGAGTTCAATACCCAGAACCATCCCCTTCCTCCCACAGATACACCAAACAACAACAAAAACTTCACAAGTTACCCCATAAATATGTACAATTTTATGTATAAAATTTAAAAACTATAGGTAATAAATATCTTTAAAAGCATTATTTTGACAGCAAGACTCCACCTTATAGAAACATATAAATTTTATTAAAAGAACAGTTTAGTCGGGTGCCAGTGGCTCATGCCTGTAATCCTAGCTACTTAGGAGGCTGAGATCTGAGGATCACAGTTCAAAGTCAGGCCAGGCAGGAAAGTCCTTGAGACTCTTATCTCCAATAAACCACCAGAAAACTGGAAGTGGCACTATAGCTCAAGTGGTAGAGCACTCGCCTTGAGCTGAAGAGCTGAGGCCCAGAGTACCCAGGCCCAGAGTTCAAGCCCCACGACTCACAAAAAAAAAGAAAAAGATAAAGAAAAAAAAAGAAAAAGAACAGTTTAAATACTTTACTGCTTATATTCTGTTTGTATATTGTTTACCTTTTATTGATAGAGTGAATCAAAGTATAAATAACATCTCGAAGAACAAAGGCCCATGCTCCTCCCAAGCCACTTTTTATGTCTTTCAGTAATAAACTAACAAATAGATGATACATTTTAAGAATTCTGTGCTTCTTATAAACATCATTTGTCTCAGCTTCTTGTTCACAAATGGCTAGAAGAATTTTCTGATAGGAGTCCTAGAAAATAAACATAGATTGAGTAAAAATTTGTCTAGTCAAATATGCCTAGTTATAAAAGTATATTTTAACAGTATACAGGACTGTATATATGTCTATATATATATGACCATACATGACCAAACTTTAATGAGAAAGAACTGCTTAAAATACATAAAAAACTAATTTTATCCTTCCACTTAAATTTATAAAAAGGCAAGTATGATATGCATCAGAAAAACATTTTTGATGGTTCTGAATTCCCTTTAAAAAAGTGCTAATGGAGCTAGGTGCCGGTGGCTCACACCTGTCATCCTAGCTACTCAGGAGGCTGAGATCTGAGGATCATGGCTCAAAGCCAGCCTGGGCAGAAAAGTCCATGAGACTCTTACCTCCAATAAACCACTAAAAAACTGGAAGTGGCAATGTGGCTCAAGAGGTAGAGCGATCGCCTTGAGCTGAAGAGTGCAGGGACAGCGCCCAGGGCACAGAGTTCAAGCTGCACGACTGACCAAAAAAAAAAAATTCTAATGGGGAAAACAGACTATATTATTACAAAGAAAGAAAGGAAAAGAAGGAAGAAAAAAGGAAAAACAAAAAAGAGAGAGAAAGAAGGGAGGGAGGGAAGGAAGGAAGGGAGGAAGGGAAAGAAGAAGGGAAGAGAAAGGAAGGAAGGAAGGAAGGAAGGAAGGAAGGAAGGAAGGAAGGAAGGAAGGAAGG